ATTATTGTAAATTAAAATTAAAATCTTAATAAATGTAAATTGGACTAATCCTCCAATTTATTATTATATTATACTATAATATTAAATTTCAAAAATTAAATATTGTAAAAAATTAAAAATATATATACTATATTTAATATTTTTCAAAAGTTTAAGGAGTAGCTTGTCAATAACTAAAAAAATTCCGTTAGTTAATTAACAAAATATTTGTAAAATATATCGTTTCAAAATTAATAATTTATAGATCATTTAAAAAATTATTTTTAAATTAAATTAAAATAAATTATATAATTAATAAATTATTTATTAAATTTGGTTGACATGCGAGCAGCGAAGTATGAGAGATTAGAAGAACGCTCCGCGCAAAGTGGAAAAACAACAAAACAAGGGTTCAAGTTATGGATAAATTGCCTAATAAATGAAACCTATGCCTCTAAAATTAGACCAGATTCAAAATTATTTTATGAAACCTATATTTCTAAAATTGGACCAGATTCAAAATTATTTTAGTACCGTACTGGATAGGACATAAAACGGGTACATACCAGTTTGTATGCAATGGAATTAACAATCTTGCTCTTAATTTTAGGGCTGCCTTCTAAGTAAGGATATAGCAACCAACTATTTTATTAAGGTCATTAAAATTTAATTGATATTTGTAATTTTTTAAAGAAATAGTTGTAATGTCTAAAAATATTAGTTTAAGAATGAAAAAAGATTATGATGTCTAAAAAAGTTTTAGATTAAAATGTCTATGTGAGTGCATCTATAACTGAAACTGTATTTTTATTAACCCAAATTTTTTGGTTTTAAAAATTAAAATTAATTTGAAACCAAAATAGATAAAATTTTTTAATTTGGTTATCCATAGTTTCAGTTATTATAAATTTGGTTTTGGTTTTAATCAATAATTATCAAACATGAAAAGTGATTACATGTGCTGTGAGTGGGATAAGATTTTTATGGGATATAAATAAAAGAAAATGTAAAAAGGATGGACAAATGAAAGTAAAATATGAATTTAGTTTTTTTTTTTAGATATATTTAAAATTTAAATACTAAATCTTAATAAAATTTATAGATAAAAAAATTTATAAGATATAACACTTGACAATAAATTAAATAAGATCATTTTTATCTTTATTTATAAAAATTTTATTTTTTAATCATGTATTCAATTTTTTATTTTCAAACCCTCTAACCATTACTTGGTTAAATTTTTTCTGTTATTCAACCAAAATTAAAAAAAAAAAAAATTCAACAACTATTTACTTCTAACAATTTAATAATTTTTAATTAATTTTCAACTCACTATTTAATTAACTGACTGTTTGAACATCCCTAAGTGCATGTATCATTCATATCATGGACATGACAATTCCATGAGTAGCCTAAGTTACATGAAAATGTGCCGAAAAAAATTTCACCTGGTTAATTTATGGATCGTACTTTAGGCTCAATTTAATAACAGTTTAGTAGTTTTTGTTTTTTTTATTTTATCTATAATTTTTAAATATTTTTAGATTTACTTATTCTTTATTATTTTTATTTTAGTTTAATTTATTTGATTAACTTTTTAATATCAATTTCACTCCATTTGATCAAATTAATTTTCAATTATGTCTTTTGTAAATTTTTACTTTTTAAAATAAATTTTGAAATAAAACTAACTTTATAAGAATGATAAGTTCTTTTTTAATATTTGAGGAATTGTAACTTTTATTACATGCTACTTCAACTTTCTCTTCTTACAATTCTCTCTTATAGAGCAAACCACAATTATTGCTTACTTTAATATTTTGCATAGTTTATCGTGAATTGCTTTGCTAGAAGTGATTATTTTATTTTAATTTTGATTTAATTTTTTTATTATTTTTTTGTTAAAATTAATGTAAATTTTATACAATAAATTATTTTAAAATATTTTTCAAAATTTATAAACCATCTAAAAAAACTAATATTTTAAACAAAAATAAAACAAAATTAATAATTAAGAGACCAATTATTGAATTAAATCCATATTTCACGTAGTAGTTCAAAAGGAGAAGCTTTTAATTGCCGAAGTAATGCCCTAGTCATTCATGTCATAAGTTTTATATTACTTTTCTTAGATAAGTTGGTTTTTTTTTTTTTTTTGGACGTATTAGAAGATGAACTCTAGTACCCTAAATGTTCAAAACTTCGAAGTTACAACATATTCCTAGGGAAAAATGATTACTGGCTAAGTTTTTTATTTAAAATTTTCATATAATTTTATATATTATTTAATAATTAATTTTTAATTAAATTTTATATCATATATATTTCTTTAATAATATATAAAAATTTCAAATAAAAATTATATGAAAAATTATAGGCATATCATTATCCCATCTTATAATGCTTTCTATTTTAAAATTATAGTACTTTCTTTAACTTTCCTTACAGATTTAGAAATATTTATAGACAATTTAATATTTTCACTAATATTGATTTAATAAAAGGTTATTTAAGCCTAAGAATATATGACAGCAAATGTTGATTGTGGACCAGAGAACAAATTTGGATTGTGTTCTCTGTGAAGACGAATGGACAAGATGATTATTGAAGAGGAAGAGTGGGTGGAAGAAGATGAGGGGGTAAATAAGTCATTTGTAATAATTTAATGGGTTTGTTTAAAAATATAAGTAAAATGTGTAATAAATATATTTTTTATAATTAATTTACATATAAAATTATAAAAATTAATATTTATTTTAATATTATTGATATGTAAATTATTTAATTAATTAATTAATTTAAGATTAATATTTACTCTTTTCATATAAATTAATTATTAAAAAATATATTAATTATATCTTCTAACTTATACCTTAATAACATATGTTAAAAAAATTTTATTTTAATTAACAAATGTATTTAAGTTATTAAAATGGTAATTTTGTAATTTTAAGCAAGTTGTCATCGTTATCATCTTTTCAGCTTGGATCGCCACGTCATAGTGTCATTTTCCACATATGAAATAAAAAAGGGAATCCGTTAGTTAACGTGCCACGTCATCTAAAAGTTAACCGTAGGATAAAAAAGAGCTAGAAAAACAAACTTAAGGACCAAAAAGAGGATGTTTCAAATTCAAGGATCAAATCGAGGACCGTATAAAAGTTAAGAGACTAAATTCTAATCTAGCTTTTATTATATGATTTTTGTTAGAACACGTGGCCCCGACATAATTATTAACTGTGACGTAAATATCAAGTAACAAGATGGAGTAGTTGCTAACCGGATATGTGGCCAATTGGTTGGCTCTCAAGTTTTAGGGTTTAGGTGAGGTGGAGGTCAGAGTTTCGAG